CAGGATACTTTTTCTAGTTTCGAATTCAGAACCCAATCAGAGGAGAATATTGGGGAAACTAACGTCTTACCAAAACGGACTTCGGAAATCTCGGGGGAGCTGGAATGGCGAGAAGTAACGCACATGAGGAAGGGTAAGGCCCATGTAACGGGGCCTGGGACCCAAATTGGGCCTCGGGACCGATCTCAAAAGATAACACTATCGGCCCAACACAAGACTTTCTCGACGGCCCATCTGAAGTTCCCCATTAATGATCCTAAACTGAACGTGATGAACTCAGCTGGACCCTCTAACACAGCCTAACAACAGAACCAAGCGGGCCCGATCCGTGTTGGAGCGGGGCTTGACCCAACTAAGCACAAGGCAATCTTATTTGACGGGAATACCGACAGCCATCTCCTCAGTCACAGGTCACCAGAGATCTCGATCGTCGACGACGCTGGGGACGATGTTATGTCGGAAGGGGAACATGCAGTCCGACTACAAGAACCTTGGCCGGAGGATTTGCAGCCTCGACAAAGTTCGGGGGTCAGGTCGGAGAATATGGACCACCCCATGATCAGTTAGGAAGACCGTGGAGTACGAGGCCAAACCCTCGGTTAACTTCAGACCCTAAATCACCTGTCTTTGTTTCCCTATGAAGATTATCTCTTGGAATGTTCAAGGAGCTGGTTCGCCTGCTTTTCGGGGAGCCTTCTCCACTCTTGTTCGACAACAAACCCCCAACATCGTAGCAATCTTTGAGCCTCGAATTAGTGGGGCAACCGCAGATAGCTTCGTGAGATTTAGCAAATTCGAGAATTCTTTTCGAGTTGAAGCTCGGGGTTTTTCTGGCGGGATTTGGCTGTTGTGGAGAGAATGTGTGATTATTGATGTATTGTACTGTTCACAGCAACTGGTGCATGTTCGGGCCAGTCAAGATGGTGAGGTTTGTATTATTTCTTTTATCTACGCAAGCCCTAACCTCACTCAGAGACGATGCATTTGGCAAGACCTGGAAAGACTCGCGCTAGTTACATCGGAACCATGGCTCGTTGGTGGAGACTTTAATTGCCTCCTTCTCCCGTCGGAGAAGGTGGGGGGGTCTCGCCGGCATTGTAACGTGAGTAAGGAGTTTGCTGACTGGATGTTTTCCCATGGCATCAAAGAGGTGGCTACGGATGGTCATACTTACACTTGGACTCGTGACGGGCAATCGGGACGAATCATGGAGAAGTTGGATCTCTTTGTTGCAAACACAAATTGGTTGGAGAAATTCGAGTCCAGTCGAGCCCGCCTTCTTCCCCGCATTCAATCCGACCACGCCCCTCTTCTTATCGAATTTGGCCGTCCGAGATTCGTGGCCCAAGGTGTGAAACCCTTCCGTTTTTTAGCATCGTGGCTCCTCCACCCAGACTTTCCCGCGATGCTCCAAGAAGCCTGGCCCACAACTCTTCCCTTTACTGAAGCTGCACAACTTTTTACTAGAAAATCTAAGGACTGGAACATCTCTATTTTTGGCAACATATTTAACCGTAAGAAGCGGCTCCTCGCGCGAATAGGGGGAATTCAACGCAGCCGGCGCTTTTACTTCTCGGACAAACTCATGACGCTAGAAAAACAGCTGCGGGATGAGCTGGATGATGTCATGCTCCAAGAAGAGCTGCTCCTCCTCCAAAAGTCCACTCGTAAATGGATGCATTTAGGGGACAGGAACACGTCCTATTTCCACCGACAACTCAAGTTCCGTAGGCGGCGAGGCAAGATCACGGAATTACTTAACGAGGCGGGGCACCCTATTAATGACCAACAGGAGCTCCAAGCTTTAGCTACGTAATTGTTTTGGAAAATATACACGGGAGATCAAGCCCGGGCCGAGACAGAAATTGTGCCCAACCTTTTCCCAAGCCGAAATATTGAAGGGACGCAAACCATGGCGGGAGCGATTGCGGATGAGGAAATATTTTCAGCACTACAACAAATGGCTTTGTTGAAGGCCCCGGGGCTAGACGGCTTAAATGCACTATTTTTCAAAAAAAACTGGACCACGGTGGGCCAGTCAGTACAGGCGTTTGTTCGCTCAATGTGGTATTCCGGCACAGTACCCCCCGAGATCAACCTGACCTTGCTGGTTCTCATTCCTAAAGTCGAGAATGCAACCTCCATAAAGCAGTTCCGGCCGATTAGTCCATTGAATGTCATCTATAAAATTTTCACAAAGGTTCTGGTCAACCGAATGAAGGACTCCCTGCCGGGGCTTATCCACCCAGCCCAAGCCAGCTTCGTCCCGGGACGTCACATCATAGACAATATTGTTGTTGCCCATGAGTTGATCCACTCTATGCGCCGAAAACAAGGAGCGACAGGTCACATGGTAATTAAGGTCGACTTTGAGAAGGCGTACGATTATCTTAAATGGGACTTCATCGAGGAAACCCTCCGCTTTGCAGGCTTCCCCATCATTATGGTTAAGGCTATCATGGCTTGTGTACGGTCAGCCTCGATGCGCTTGCTGTGGAATGGGACGCTCGGGGACGAATTTCTTCCCACCCGGGGAGTTCGATAGGGTGACCCCATGTCTCCATACCTCTTTGTGTTATGCATGGAGAGGCTGGCACAACTTATAGACCAAGCAGTGCACCACCATGAATGGAAACCGATATCAGTTGGGCGGGGTAAAGTTTCGGTACCTTTCTTGATGTTCGCTGATGATCTCCTTTTGTTCCTGGAAGCCTCAAACGAACAAGGGGGGATTGTGAAGCAGGTACTTGAACGTTTCAGCACCATATCAGGCTTTAAGGTGAGCTCGGAGAAGACGCAAGTCTTCTTTTCACGCAACGTTGATCTCGTAGAACAACACCACCTGGCAAACATGCTTCAGTTCAAGAGGACCGACAATCTGGGAAAGTATCTTGGAATGCCAGTTATCCACGGCCACGTAACCAAGTCGACATACGCTCACATTCTGGAGAAGGCGGAAGAGAGGCTTGCGGGGTGGAGAATGAAATCTCTTTCTTTGGCGGGACGTGTCACACTCACCCAGTCAGTGATCAGTGCCTTGCCCTACTTCTCCATGCAGACTGCTATGCTTCCTTGTGCGATAACGGAAGGCCTGGAACGTAGAAGTCGGGCCTTTGTTTGGGGTGGCAATGACGGTAAACGTAGGCTTCATCTGGTCGCCTAGATGGATGTATGCAAGCCTAAAGACGAAGGTGGGCTTGGTATCAAAGATTTACGAAAGATGAATCATGCCCTCTTGATGAAGCTGGGTTGGGGTCTTCTCTCCAAGAGTAACACCTTATGGGCTCGGGTCTTATCAGCCAAGTACGGTTTAGACGACTCACACGGCTTGGAGTCCCCACGTTGTCGACAGGGGTCGCCATTGATGAAAGCTTTGTACAAAATATGGCCTGCTACAATTAAAGAAACTCGGTGGCACGTGGGCAATGGAGAGACGGTACACTTTTGGCTTGATTCTTGGGTTAGCCCTATCGGGCCCCTTATCAATCATGCTACCAAGAGACCGCCCGAGGAACATATAAGGCTAAAAGTCGTGGATTACGTCGATGACCGAGAAAATTGGAATTGGGACGAGTTTCATGGAATCCTCCCCTCTACTATCATCATGCAAATTGCAGGAATTAGGGCAGCTTGCTCGTGGCAAAACAGAGTTGCTGCAGTTGTGATTTTTGCCCATTTGTTTAGTTTGTTTGTTGCCAAGATAATGTGTATATCTTGATAGTGTTGTTGCTACCAAGATTGAAGATTTAAATCTTGATGTTTATGTTGTTCCTCTAGTTGTTGAACTATATATGATTCGTGGTTGTGCCCATTGTTGGTTATAGTGGAAGAATTAAGTGGCCTACGATGGTACGACCTAATAACCTATCATTTCTTACTTATTTGATAATCATGATACGATTTTCTTCAATCAACAGACAATCCTAAATACGATCATAGGATTTAATTTATCAAATGCATTAAAACATAGAAGGACCTCTAATTTTAGCCAAGAAACGCACATGTAAAATCATTTAGACTAGTTCATAAAATTTCCTAAACTTAAAATCGAAAAATCAAACAATTACGGATTTAATATCCTAAATGATGATATGCTATGCCGATAATTTAACAGATGGCTCTTTTTGCATCAATCGAACAAAACAACAATTGATAATATAATAAACATAAGGGACATACGAATAAAAGAAAATAGGGAACTGAAAACTCAATTAGATCTCACAAATCATGAAGAACCAAATCAAGAATATCTTTTGGCTGAAAAAATAATTTACATATCCATAAATATGGTAGTCTTCTCCATAAATTCATCATAAAAATAATAAATACAGTAAAACTAAAATAAAAAAATGCAGAAGATTTATGTCCGTGCGTGCGTCTTCTCAAAACATATTCGAAAGAAGAAAAAATAAAAGAAGTCGAACTCAAGAGAAGAGAAGAGAGAAAAATAGTCCCTAGCAGTTTGATTTAATTATCGATCTAATCCTAATCCTAGAAGAGATACGTATGAAATAATATTCTCTCTCCAAAATATCCTAAGAAAAATAAAATAGTCCCTAAATAAATAAATTCTCCAAATAGTCTTTTATTTCTCTTTCCAATTCAAGACTCATTCCTTTTTCCAACTCTTGTAGGAAATTAGCGGGCCCATGCCTTAACTCAAATTCACCTCTTTCACCCTCCAATCATCATAGAATTCTAAATTATGAGATATCCTACAAAAATTACAATAATCAATTAAAATCGATAATTAAGCTAAAACAAACACCGAAAAAGTATGGAAAACGTGACAATTGATATGCTAAGAATACGACTTGTCACCCTCAAATAAATCCCAAGAGTCTGCGTGAAAAATAGCTCCCCAAGTCTTATATTTTTATTTCTGTTTGCCTAAGTCATCAGGACATTCATTTTTGATATTGGGTTTATTCATGTTTTTGGGCCCACAAAATCTCTAATATCTCAAACTCTATTGATTATTGCCCAATTGCGCTGCGTACATGGTGGCTTTTGATTTAACTCCTTTAAAAGTTGGGCCTGAATTTGGGACGTACTCGAGCTGGTATAGTGTTTATTGTGTTTTTGTGTTCATTTCTATGTGTTTGTTGTGTGCTTTCGAGCCGATTTTATGTTTATTTTAGTGTCGACCGGTCCATTCTCTCGTTTATCATTTGTTTTTATGTTTTGTTGTTTGATTTATATTTTGGCATACTTTCCCGTACTTTTGCTATGAATTTCAGGTTTATTCCGGGATAGAGATGGAGAGAGAATCGAGCCACATTCCGAGAGATGAGCATTTTCTAAAGAAGTCGAGTTT